CCCCACCCCCAGGCCTTCACCATACTATTGTCTGTGTCCATGGGTAATGCATATAGGCACATAAGTTCTTTGGTTAATCTCTCCCTGCCCGCCCCCGCTTCCCTCTGAGATTCATCAGTCTGTTCCATGCTTCTATGTCTCTGGATCTATTTTGTTCATCAGTTAATTTTGTTCATTAGATTCCACATATGAGTGGTGCCTGGTTTTCCCATTTGTCTTTATAGACCTTACATTTTTTTCCTTTAACAACAATTTGGAAACTAGTTAGTAGGTATATCTCCTGCAACACTTTAGTTAGGCCTCAACTTCTGGGGGTTCCTGGATCTGGGAATATTCTTTCTACTATTCTCAGTCCTGCATATTGACAGGTTCAAAGCAAATAAACAAGGACAACAACAGCAAAATAACTTATTCCGTAATGTAAATCAGGGAAGACATGTACTAGTAAATGTGTCTCCTTCACTGTAGTTAGTGGTCATTTAGATGTGGCCTTGATGAGGGCCACTTTTACCTGAGTTTCACCAGTGGCCCTTGTTAGTGGGATTTTAAATGTTGACCCTATGAAGAAATCATCCTATATTTTTAAATGTATCATGCATTGTATAAAGCATAGAACTTGGTTCTGGGGTGTGTGTGTGTGTGTGTGTGTGTGTGTCATGAAGAAATCATCCTATATTTTTGAATGTATCACGTATTGTTTAAAACATGGACCATGGTTCTGGTGTGTGTGTGTGTGTTGAAGTTATTCTTACCATGAATAATAGAGAAAGAAGTGTAAAAACTCAACAGTGTAAGAGCTGGTGTATGAGTGGATGTGTGCACACGTGCCTCTATGTGTTTTACAAGAAAAACTCCTCCCTCTCCAATGCAGACAGCCTTCCACACCCTCTTCCTAAAGTCCTTGGAGCAAAGCTTCCCTGGTGCCAAAACCAGACTAAAATGCTCTCACTTTCTCTGGCACGCTTCTGGAAATTTGGAACAACTCACGCTTTTGGGGTAGGTCATTCAGGATTTCTGCCGTTTCCTGCCCAGAGACAGTTTTCTCATGGAATCAGTAGAACTACCTTTCACTGATAATTTCTTCATACTGTACTAACCTAACTAACAAAAGCTGTCATTATAAATGTTGCATTTCTAAATCTCTGGATTCTACAGGACAAATTCAGGAATCAAGGTACAAAGCAGGAAACAAGGCACAGGCAAAGGGTTTACCCGAAGCCGGTCCAATAAATAAATCTCTTCAATATGTGCTTGATCCACAGGTAGCGTGGCTTGTGGGAGATTAGGCATGAGCAGCCAGAGAACATCAACGTGTCTGCACTATTCTCGGAGTAAATGTGAATGAAGAATATTTTACATAGACTTTTGGGAAGGAGAATTATCTTTATCTGGACTGGTGATCTGCTTCCAGTTGTGACCAGGAATTTAAAAAGGAGTAGGAGGAAGAAGAGGGAAGGGGGAGAGTGGAAAAGGGGCCTTAAACATGACGTTGAAAAAATAACCACTCCTTCAGTACTGCGTGGAGGAAAATACCCCAGGTGTCACTGGTGATGAGATAGCCCTCCCGTATGGGAAGTTCTGTGGCCCTGGCTTTGGCCTTACTTTGCATAACTTGAAGTGTGCTCTCCGGGGTAGGAAAATTTATGGCCCTGCCCTTTGCAAAGCCAGATTCCTTTGTTAGTGTGGGTCCCACTAGGCAAAACAGGCAAATGTCCCAGCTTCTCTAGCTCACAGATTTTCATGGCTATGGATTTGCCTTAATAGGCTTGCCAGTGTATAGGAAATATCACTTGCATTGTAAGTGACATGGACCAACTTCTTTGGGCTTATTTATATGCGCCATCAGTGTGGGGACTGGGCATAATGCCTATGGGCTGGTGCAGTGCTGAGGCTTGATAGACTGGTATATTTGAAAGGCCATGTCTTGTATTCCTATGGTTTCCTGTTTTACTGGTATATTTGTTTAACCAATGAAAGGCCATGTCTTGTATTCCTATGGTTTCCTGTTTAATATGAAGCACAATATTAGACAGGTAAGAGCTGCTGGGTCAACACTAGTTTATGTAGTGATTCAAATGATGTATTAGGTAACTAAAGTTAAAATTTTATTTAGATAGCCCTGGTGGGTGTGGCTCAGTTGATTGAGTATTGTCCCATCCACCAAAAGGTCGCTGGTTCTATATCCAGTCAGGGCACATACCCAGCTTTCAGGTTCAATCCCCAGTTGGGGTGCATTCAGGAGGCAGCTGATTGATGTTTCTCTCTCTCTCTCTCTCTCTCTCTCTCTCTCTCTCTCTCTCTCTCTCCTTCTTTCCCTCCTTACCTTTCCTTTCCCCTCTCTCTAAAATCAATAAAAAATACACTAAAAATTTTATTCTCAGTACCTGTCCCTGGAGATACTGGCTATACATACTAGTGAAAGGTGAGGCACACACTCCAAGTGGAAAATGAAAAATTTTTACAGCCTTCCCTAAATATTTACCACTCTAAATAATTTCAGTTTCCAATTTTTAATAAGATCCAAGCACTTAATCCTTGAAATTACTAGCACTGAAGACATGGTGCGAACATACTCTTATTTAACTTTAACCAAAATGATAATAGAACCAAACAGGACACATATGCTTTCTGTTTATTTAAAGCATACTTTTGATAGTTTCTCAACACCAGGAATTGTTTAATAGTGTCACTTTGAGTCTAAGAGTTTCCGAGAAAAAAAAATTACTTTTTAGGGTAGAAAATCTGAAGCATGGATTTTTATTTATTTGGGCCATCTCTCTTTCTAAAGAAGTATTTTATGGAACCGACTCATAAAGAAATGACTTTAAAGGCAATGGGTAATTTTGAATGATTAGGCCTCATTCTTTTGGGTTGATCTGCTTCGGGGTAGGAAGCAAGGAGAGACTCTCCTGAGGCATTGTGCAGACCTGTGGAGCCTTGTCAAAGCGCTGGAATCTGTCTGGTAATGGCTTTGCACCTTTAGAGAAGGAGCTCAAATTTCTTTGGGGTGAAACATGGGACCTGCAAACGTAAGAGAAAGGCAGGGATAATAAGCCATGAAATAGCTGCGCAGTAGCAGCCAAGAGGGGTTCTCATCACTCTGTCACTCGGGAGTTCAGGAAGAACATAGCACATTGAAAAGAGCAGCAAAGGCAGTAGGCACGGGCAATGCACCAAGCACCATTCACTCCAGAAGTAGACTCTTGAGGTCCTATGTACACTATGTCCAAAAGTTAAAAAAAAAGGATATTAGGAGAAATAAATCATTTTACCAGTTCCAAATTTACTTATTCCAGGAACTAGGCTATTTCATAATAAAAACTTAAATGAAGGCCAAAAATGAAGCAATGGCAGTTCTTTTTAGATGGATTCTAAATTCAGACAATTGGTATATTTTATTCAGGCTTAGTTCTATTTCTGTCTTTAGTCAAGCTATGGAGTTTTAAGATAGATTTTCATAGATGGCAAATTATTTTTAGTTCTTTTAATATTAATAAAAGTATAATACTTCTAAAAGTTTTACTAAATGTCTTCTTTTTTTGTCTAACTAGTTACTAAGGTAACTCTGGCATCAAAATATGTTTGTATAACAAAGATATATTTAGTAATGAAAATTACCACTGATTGATTAGTTTGAGTGGACATACTTTTAAGTAATATTGATTTGCATTAAATTCCCATAAAATTCTCCTCATCAAAGTATACCTGAATTAACCAACCATCATAAATATTTAATAAGTGTGGAAAGCACTTATAGGAGTCAGCAGTACAACTTTCCTGTTTGCTGAATAAGCGTCTACACAGGTCACTTCCCATCATGCATATTTATTTATAATAATGACAGTGGTAATAATCTGTAACTTGGAAGTTAAGAGAACATTTTGAGTATCAAAATTCATTTTACCTATTTACCCCAGACAGCAAGACACTAATTAATATACTTTTGGATGTACATAATAACAAAACAGGACCACTTCTCTCTGCTTCCTTGAACTCACAATGCCAGCTGTCTTATCTCTCACTCTGTTAACCAAATGATGGGCCAAGTTAGTGATCAAAAACTGGGTGTGGTCAATAATATTCAAGTAATTTTTTTTTCTAACACAGACAACTCTGAAGCTTTCCCATTAATGATCCAGGTTGCTGTGCTGAATTATTACTTAACCCCATCAAAAATCCATGGACATTTATGACCCCAAAGTAGATTACCTAATGTGTTAAATAGAGACAAACAGCCAAGACCGGTTTGGCTCGGTGGATAGAGTGTCAGCCTGCGGACTGAAAGGTCCCAGGTTCGATTCCGGTCAAGGGCATGCACCTTGGTTGCGGGCACATCCCCAGTGGGAGGTGTGCAGGAGGCAGCTGGTCGATGTTTCTCTCTCATCGATGTTTCTAACTCTCTATCCCTCTCCCTTCCTCTCTGTAAAAAATCAATGAAAATATATTTTTTTAAAAAAAGACAAACATTTAGGCTTTGAGAACATGAATATTACATAAATAATTGTGATCCGAAAAGCTTATAAGGTATTGCCTTAAAATATGTTTTTTGGTCATTGATATTTTTTATTTTTTTAATTTATCTTTATTGTTGAAACTATTACAAATGTCCAATTCCCCATTGACCCCCTCCATCCCACACCCATCTTCCCCTAAGGCCTTTATTACACTATTGTCTGTGTCCATGGGTTATGCATATAAGCATATAAGTTTTTTGGTTTGATCATTGATATTTTCTCTGTTAAAATGATTGACCAAATTATGGAAAATAAAAGGAGAATCATTTAAAGGCATTAGCCTGGGGCTTGATAAGCAAAGTGTGTGTGAGTGTGTGTGTGTGTGCGCGCGCGCTTATGTGCATGGCTCACTGTATGTTTCTCTCGGCCATCATTGATTTCCTCCTCCTCACTGAACACTTACTGGTTCCTGTCTTCCAGATGACACTGGCTGTCCTAGTAGCCAGTCCGTGTCTCCTGTGAAGACGCCCTCGGATGCTGGAAACAGTCCTGTTGGCTTTCGCCCTGGAAGTGATGAAGACTTTACCAGGAAGAAATGCACAGTTGGAATGGTTGGCGAGGGAAGCATCCAGTCAGCTCGATATAAGAAGGAACCCAAGTCAGGCCTTGTAAAGCCAGGTAAATGCACTTATATTCATCTTGTTATCAGCGTGGTATGACTGCAGTGAATTCACACTTGAAATGAAACACCTGTATGTCAAGACAGGGAACACTAATGCTGTACCCAGAACCCAGAAACCTCTGTTGTCAAAAAGGATGTGGGACAAAGAGTGGAATATTTTCTCCACTAGTTGTTAAAAATTGAGTCATTATGGTGATAGGAGTACATTATAAAGACACAGAAGATGGAGCAACGTTGAAGAAATGTAAACTGGATGATCTAGTAGACATTTAAACTCTATAATTAATCCCAACATAAATTATATTAAGAAGTTACTTGGTACCATTTAAAGTGCCCACAAATTATGAAAATAAGAGGTTATCTTGATGCAGATCTTTAGGGCTGAGCATACTTGCAAACCTAGTTATTTTATTTGCTTTTAAAGATTGAAATATGAATATGATGTTATATGTACCAGTTGTACTGCTTACTAATGCAGATTTTGCAATCAAACATGATACTTTCAAGAGAAACATCACAAGTGTTTATTCAAAGTAATGTCCATCGCTAGCTACACATTTCCGCCATCTTTCAGGTAATTTGTGCATAACGTCCCAGTAGAACTTTTCTTGTTTTGAGGCAAACCATTCAGAGACCCAATTTTCTACTTCTTCATATGTTTTGAATTGCTGCTCAGAAAGTGCGTGTGCCATCGATCGGAACAAGTGGTAATCTGAAGGAGCAAGGTCTGGTGAATACAGCGGGTGGGTTAATACTTCCCAGGCAAGATCTTTTAACGTGTCTTTACCTGGTTTTGAAGTGTGTGATGGTGTGTCATCATGAAGCAAAATTACTTTGCTGTGTCTTCTGGCACATTCTGTTCATGTTATGATCAAAGCATGGTTCAAATTGATTATTGGTTGTCGGTAGCAATGAGTATTAACGGTTTCACCTGGTTTTAGAAGCTCATAATACACCACACCTTCCTGATCCCATCAAATGCAGAGCATTGTCTTCTTTCCGAAGCGATTTGGCCTTGCAGTCGATGTTGATGGTTGACCTGGATCAACCCATGATTTTGTGCATTTTGGGGATTCTCAAAATGAATCCACTTTTCATCGCCAGTCACAATTCGGTGCAAAAAAACTTTATTTTGTGCCGTTGAAACAACATTTTATTGATGACTTTTCGGTTTTCCATTTGTCTCTCTTTCAGTTGATGTGGCACCCATTTTCCTTCCTTTAAAATCTTTGCCATTGCTTGTAAACGATCGGAAATTGTTTGCTGAGCAACATTTAATCTTTCTGCAAGTTGTTGTTGAGTTTGACACACATCTTCATCCTATAATGCTTGTAATTGTTGGTCTTCAAACTTTTTCAGTTGACCTGGACGTTCTTTGCCTTTCACATTGTAATCATCACTTTTAAAGTGTTTAAACCAGCGTTCACAAGTATCTTGAGATGGAGCATGTTCACCATAAGCTTTCCAAAGTATATGATAACTTCCAATAGCACTTTTCTTCCAAATAAAGTAATGAATTAAAACTTCCCGCAAATGCTCTTTTTTTGGCACAAAATTTGACATTTTTAAGTGTAAAGATACCTATGATGTTAACACCTTCAGAAAATTTGGCATATGAAGTTTTGAAGCTTGTTGTCAATACAACAAAATAGCATACATATCAAATCGCATATATATCAACATATGTATAACTCCATCTATTGAAAAAAATCCACATTATTAACTGATACACCAGTTATGTATATGAAAATATACATATTCAAGGATTACAGAATATTAAAAACTATTCAATGAAATAGAGATCATTATTGTATTGGATGAAATACCATGAATATTAGAAAAGGTCAATTTTCAGAATTTGCAATATATAAATAAATGTTTTGTATCTCAGAAATATATACAGTAAGTGAGCAAATATAGTTTCAGTAGAACTGAAGTTTTAACCTTACAGTAAAAGGATATGAGCATTGGCATTGTGAGACAACATCTATATTGCATTATTTTCTTTAACATCCACAGTTATCCTATACATATTTATGAGCCTGAAAAGACAGATTAATAGCCTGCATGAGTCCTCATTCCTTACATTTGTCTTCTAATTTTTGTTTGATGATGACATTACTGTGCAAGGAGCTATAGGCAGCTTTATTTGAATGGAGGCAAAGCTTGGCAGGTGTCCTTTTCCATTGGAAGGTCTGGCATCCTCTTCCATCTCTGTCAACTTTTGTTCTTCCTGAATAATTGATGTGCACAGCATATCTTAATGGATTATTCTTCATCTTGCGTCAACCAAAGAGAACGTCATTTAATCTCAGGACAAAACTTAAACTGTGTGAAAAAGAAGTCCCCTCTTTCCTAGGCTCCTGATAAATGTTAGTCATGATGAATTTGTTAATAATCTATTGCTTTTGAATCATATAAAAAAGAAAAGGAATGATACGCAGTGGGGAAGACAGCATATGAAAAAGAAAGATGGATATGGTAAAAAGAGTGTTGGATGTCCTCAATACTTAGGACAGAGGCAGTGAGGTAAAGAATGTCATGTTAATTATAGACAAGAAATAAAACCATTACTTTGTATACTGTGTGGGAGGAAAAATAATTTTTCTTCTACTCTTCTAAGTGCTTCTGGCTGGTCTAATAATAAAATTGACATGAGACAGATTAACACAGTAGTTCTCAACCTTCCTAATGCCGCGACCCTTTAATACAGTTCCTCATGTTGTGGTGACCCCCAACCATAAAATTATTTCGTTGCTACTTCATAACTGTAATTTTGCTACTGTTATGAATCGTAATGTAAATATCTGAGATGCAGGATGTATTTAGGCGACCCCTGTGAAAGGGTTGTTCGACCCCCAAAGGGGTCGCGACCCACCGGTTGAGAACCGCTGCCTTACCAGGCCACCCAGAAACAATGGGGCACAGATGGGAGTCTAACAACCAGACTTTGCAGCTTTCTCCCTGTCTGCCACACTTAGTTTATATTATACTAAGGTGATAGCTTCCTGAAAAAGCAGGTTCTTCCATCCAAATTCCTTTAGGCAGGTGAGAGGGTGGGGAAGTCAAAGGCTCTTCTTGACTCTTTTGGTTCTGAAAAATAACCAGCTTAAACTAATTTCCCCAAAAGGCATATTTTGGGTGGCAAAACTCGGCTTCCCCTCAGGACCCAAGGACAAGACCTGCCTCCCTCCCTCCTCCAGCTCAGTTGTCCTCTTAATATTGAGATATAATTCACATCCACACCTTTGAAGTGCACAACTCAGTGGGTTTTAAAACGTTGTGCAACATCACCACTAATTCCTGAACATTTTTATCACCCCCAAAAGAAACCCCGTGCCCACGAGCAGTCACTTGCACACTCCCTTTCCCCCCGCCCCTGGCAACGCCTTACCTAGTCTCTGTCTCTATGGGTCTGCCTGCTCTGGGCAGCGCATGTAAATGGAGTCATGCAATATGCGGCCTTTGGTGTTTGGCTTCTTTCGTTTAGCATAATGTTTTCAAGGTTCATCAATATTGCACGGATTCGGATCAATAACATTCTATTATGTTGATAAGCCACATTATTAAATAGACTTTTTTTAAGGAAATTTCGGTTTATAGAAAATTGAGTGGAGAATACAGAGTCCCCAGGTACCCTCTCACCAGTACTACCTCCAGCTTCCCCGGTTACTAATCTCCTGCCTTGGTGTTGTGATATACGCATCTTGTTTCTCCATTCACAGTGGATGGACATTTGGGTTGTTTCTGCTTTTTGTCTATTAGGAATAATGTGTTATGAACATTCAGGTACGGGTTTTTGTATGGACATGAATTTATTTCTCTTGGATATATAGCTAGGGGTAAAATTGTTGACACATGTGGTAACTTTATGTTTAACTCTTTGAGAAACTGCCAAACTGTTTTTCCAAAATGGCTGTGCCATTTTACATCCCCACCAGCAATGTGTGGGGGCTCTGATTTCTTCACATTCATCCTTGTTAACAATTGTTATTGCTTACCTTTTTTTTTATCATAGCCATTCTAGTGAGTGTGAATTGGTATTTCATTATGCTTTTAAATTTACATCTCTGTCATGGATAAATGATGATGAGTGTCTTTTCATAACACATGGGATTTAAGTTTAAAAGTAGACGCTCTGTCATCCTCTTTGAGTTCTCCTAGTACACAGGGTCAGTATATATTGGGGGATCGATCCACATTTGTTGACCTCAAATGCAGCAAAGGTGGCCTCTGGGATTGAGAAGATAAAATGATGCTGGAATGAATGTCAGCCTCATGGATTGCAAAGAAAAGGTAGATTTCATTGTGAAAGTAACGTAGGATTGGAATGCAACCTGATATTATTTCGTTTTTGCTATCCACCCCAAATTATCTCCCCAAATATCCACCACTCATTCTAAGATGGATATGGTAAAAAGAGTGTTGGATGTCCTCAATACTTAGGACAGAGGCAGTGAGGTAAAGAATGTCATGTTAATTATAGACAAGAAATAAAACCATTACTTTGTATACTGTGTGGGAGGAAAAATAATTTTTCTTCTACTCTTCTAAGTGCTTCTGGCTGGTCTAATAATAAAATTGACATGAGACAGATTAACACAGTAGTTCTCAACCTTCCTAATGCCGCGACCCTTTAATACAGTTCCTCATGTTGTGGTGACCCCCAACCATAAAATTATTTCGTTGCTACTTCATAACTGTAATTTTGCTACTGTAAACAATATGTAATTATATATGTGTTTTCCGATGGTCTTAGGCGACCCCTGTGAAAGGGTCGTTTGACCCCCAAAGGGGTTTCGTCCCACAGGTTGAGAACCACTGGATTAACAGGAGAAAATAACCAATCGTATTACAAATGTACAAACGGGGGTTCCCTAAGAATATGGGACTCCTGGACAAATCAGGCAGTTGAGGCTTTTATGCACTTCTGGACAAAGAAGAGGGCTTCAAAGGGGAAGTAAGCAATTCACAGGTGTATGAAAAAGAGCAAATA